ATATCTTTAAATAAAAAGTAATAAAATTGGTGTTGTTATCTCACTTTTTTTTGAAAAGATAGTTCTTATACTTTGTGAAAATGTTCATTATCATGCCTCTACTAAGGAAATGTTCAATGTCATCCCTCTACTTTCCTCACAACATAGATGTCATCCCTCTACTACACTTTCTTATTCAATGTCACCCTTAATTGGATGCATCCACATTTTCATTAATTTTGACCATTAATAATTAATTGCCCAGCAGTCAAATGTTCAACTTTTGTTTATTAATTTTTTATCCACCTAATGGGACCACTGGGACTAGTGGGATCAGTGGGACTAGTGGGACCAATTCCTTTTTTTAATTTTTGGTTATGTATTATTCTTTCTAGCTTTAGCTCTAAAACTAACGAATTTCGTTAACTTTTTATTAAAATGAGAGTAAAATAGTTATAGGTTCAATTCTCAAAGATTAAAAATATAATAATTTTGTTTCAAAAGTTTAAAAATTAAATAAATTAGTAAACGAAAAAAATTAATAGATGGCTTTTTTACATACACTAGAATAATATTAAATATTTTTAATCAAATCGAGCGATTAACTTAATTTGAAGAAATAATTTTGACTGAGATTAAAAAAATTTCAAAACTAAATTAAGGTAAAATTCAAGAGACTAGAAAAATATAGTCAAAAAATTTTCTTTAATCTTAGTTATATATATTTTTTAGATTAAATCAATCACTCGATTTAATTATAGATATCTAATACTATTATCATATATGTGACAAATGCATCCACTAATTATTTTTTAATTTTTGAACTTTTGAAACTAAACTATTATATTTTTAATTTTTAAGAACTAATTTTATAAATATTTTATTTTCACTTTAATAGAAAGTGAATGGATTTTGCTATTTTAAAGACTAAAATCTTCAAAATTTTAAGTTTAAAGGTTAAAAACTTCATAATATAAGATAATGGGCTAAAATCTTCAAATTTTTAAGTTCAAAGATTAAAACTTCATAGTATAAAATAAGAGGCTAAACACTTCTAACTTATCAAGATGAGGGGTTAAATGCCTAGCTTAGCCAAAGAAATTGTTCCATTAAATGGACAAAAAAATAATAAATAAAAGTTAAATGTTTGACTATTGGGCAATTAACAATCAAATTTAACAAAAATGTGGATGACATACAATTAAAGGTGACATTGAACAAAAAAAAGTGTAGTTGAGGGATGAAATTTATATTGTAAGTAAAGTAGAGTAGAGGGATGACATTGAGCATTTCCTTAGTAGAGGGACAACAATGAATATTTTCACAAAGTACAAGGATTACAATTGACTTTAACCCTTCTTGTAATTTAGTAGAAACACATATCAAGTTTTTTTTTTTTTGTTTTCAGCATGAGGAATTATGGGAAATGGATAACTTTTTCAAGATATTGGTGGGAATTGAATTTTTGACTAACTAAATTCAAAGTACTAAAGTTTGGAAACGAATCATTAGTCCCAAGAGTCTAGCTCATCAAGCTTTTAAACTTTTAAACATGTCCAAGCAGCACTCTGTTGCTAGTCCCCGGTTCCAAAACTCTTCATAGTATTCAGCATAGGTGAAACTCTGGTAGACGGCTGGGTGTTGGTCGTCGATCAACTCTTCCGCCGGCCCTATCATGGCATCGGGTGATGGACAGTAGAATGTCGGAATGGATATACGTTCCTTGTCAGAATTCACCACCGCTCGATGAAGCACACTCTTGTATCCATTATTGCTTATCACCTGTTACAATTTAGAAACAGAGGTGAGGAAAAAGATGCATATATAAATATATCCAAGACGGAGTTGGATCAAGTGGTAAGCGATTT